AGAGCCTTACGGACTATTAAAAACAACAATCCCTCCCAGGGTTATCGTGAAAGTCTAAGTCATCGTGACCCGTCGTCCACTCTCGGGCAACCCGCAGAAGTTGCAGCCACAAAGGCACACACCTTCCCAGTTCTACCAGCGAACTCATACACCGTCGTGTATGCACGACCATGGGAGCGACCCAAGTACCCTCCGTGCTTACGTGATTATCCCGCAACCCATGCGGTTGATTTAACCACGATCCATCCGGGAACATCGGTTTGCCACTCAACACATCTCACCCAAGTATGCAACCATAAAAGCATGCAACAACACAACAACCTTACTTGCTAGCAACTTATCACACACGCATCATCACAACCTATCGCATGATCTAGGGACAAGTACTAGCAATTATGAGCACATCAACTATTCATCAAGTAAACATTCAAGGGCAAGCATCTATCTCACAACCAAGCAATCAACAATAACTTAGCATGCATTATGAAACCGAGCTGCGAGAATTCAAGCGGAGTTACATGCGGTGGTTTTCTATCAAGCAACAGACTAAATATAAAGTAGTGTGACAATTCTCAACGACCAAGTGACACACAATCACCGTGACCATCCTGGCCGTTCTCTCACAAAACGGCCAGCAGACAATGTCCAAGTTCAAGAGAATAGATGCATGTCCTATCTACCTATTCGCAAGTCTCAATTGATGAGCTTCCTAGCCAACACGGCAACATCCATCAAGATAACGAACATGCATGCATGTATCCGACACTCAAGCTCAAGAGATAACAACAATAACAACCAAACCCATGGGGATTCGACTCATCAATCCCCGTGACCCAAATCACAGTGTACGTGGACGGAGAGGTGGAGTTAAACGGCGACAACTCCTTCCTAGGACTCGGGAAAACCTGAGACTACGGGTAACCAACTTAGCTATGGATTCAACCCATAAGGGTAAGTAAAACCAATGGAAAACGCTAAGGGTAACTAGATCTTACCGGAAACGACTCGAGAATCCACACGGATAAGAAAGAAAATCAAGAATTTTGCTAAGGATAGATTCTAGAGAGAAAATGGTAGAGTAAGGGTAAGAGAAACAGAAAAATGGCAGAATACTAAGGGCTGAGGCTCTATTTATAGGGAAAAAACTTAGTTTTGTGTTGGTTTTGCCAGCTTGCGCGACACGTGGCGGGTAACTTCTGCACGCGCGGAACTGCAAAACGCTACCCAGGCGTGTTATCGGACGCGACAGTCTTCACCAACCGTTGCCCAAGCGTGTGTCAGTGGCGACAGACAGGTTCAGATGCTACCCCTGGCCGTGTCGGACACGACAGACGGTCACAGACGCTACCCGCGCATGGGTAACATGTGGCACAGCACGACTGTGCTCCAGCTCGCGTCCAGCGTGACTTCATGCGCGCTGCCGCGTGTGGGAAAATTCCTTCTCGTGCCTTGGTCGATCCGTACTCGACCTGCATCCCACGATACTTGCCTGCGACACTTGCCCGCGATACTTACTCGCGGACCACACAATCCTTCCCGCGGTGCGAGCAGACCGACCCGCGGAGAGATTTCTCAACCCAATATGTTTTCTCTCGGCACAACTTAGATTTCCCTTGGCAAAAAACTAACTTAAGGCTTTCTAAGCCTAACTCGATCTAATTCCCCTCGAAGCCAACACTTGGAAACTCAAGGCCGCACATCCCGGCCTAGGGCACTTATCGGGTTATAATAATGAATAAGAACAAGGCAACAAAAAAAAGGAAAGAGAGAGCTCTTTTATAGACGTGGCCGAAACAACAATGAAATCACCTAGAGTTTTGGTTCTGNAAGAGAAAAAAATTACTTTTATTAATAGATTTATTTATATGTTTTCTATTATCAGAGTATGATTATAGGTAGTAAATATGTTGNCATAAATATATAAATTTTATAATATTAATTATATTGGGATTGATGAAAAGAGAGAAAGAGAAACAGAGAGATATATATAGATGTATAATTACCTCAACAAATATAGGTAATATAGATCCTACATTTAGAAACTCAAATATAGATTTTGATTTAATTAAATGAATTTAATTGTTAAAAATCCAGTATATTTAATCTTGTTATCCACCTATAATAAGCATGCTCTCATGTAACATTTTACATTTTAGTAAACTTCAAATAAGCGTTTGCTTCTAAACGAACGTGCGCAATGATCGTCTCTTGCCAAACCCCCAAACATTTTTTAACCATTAAAAACGAAAAAAAAAAAACTGAGAAGTCAATAACTATAATCTAGTGGTGACTACTAACTAAGCTTATAATCAAACAGATTCACTTATTAGATCAAATCCGAGATCTCTTCCACTTTGCACAAAACCCTAGATCCAACAATGGCGGACGAGAAGAAATCCAAGCACAGACATAGGTCCGTGGTCTTCGAGTCCATGTACCCTGTCCTTGCGCTCATGCTCTTACTCGTCGCTTGCGTCGAGCTCTGTGACGCCGCCACTGTTGTCGATGTCTACCGTCTAATCCAGTATGATATCTCCGGTGTTCCTTTTGGCTCTCGTTTCTCCTCTCTTAACCACCATGCCGCTTCCCTCAGCTTCCAGCCCGGCGCCGATCTATCCCGTTCTGTTCTTATCCTCCCACTCCGGAAGCTCGACATTGGTTTCGTTCAAGGTACCTTTGTTCGATGCTCGATTTGATTCGTCGATGACCTCATTGTTAGTCAGGCAGCTTGATCGCATTTTGATCTGGATCGGGTTTCATTGTTTGTTACCTACAAGTTGCTATTTTGTTCTCCAGTTACCTTACTTACACTCTGAAGATAATGGCAGATTACATCTCACAAAAGCAGTCGCTTGGGGGATTGTTAATTTTGCTTCCCCAGATGTTTAGACCTGGAAACATTGGTGGTAGCAATCTAATCTCTGAAACCGAGGGGTTCAGGAAATTGTTAGCTCAACTTGAGAAGTTACTTGTCCAAGGCAACATACCTGTGAGTGTTTTGTTTCATATGTGTATATTTGAAAAGCACTTCGTTTTTTTATTTTGTCAGCGTAGTTGCGCACATAGCCCTTATGGTAACAAATGTTTATTCTTACAGTTTCCTGTCTACTTCGCATTTGAGAATGAAGAGACTGATGCTATGTTGGCTGATGTAAAGAAAAATGATGCACTTGGTCAACAAGCCACTGCAACCACAGGCGGGTTAGTCAGTTAGTTGTTAATGACTCTCTCCTGAATTATCATGAGATGTTCTAGTGATATGCCTCGGGCAAACAGTTTTGTTGCAAATTAAGTATGAAAATGATGTGTGACTTCAAGCTTGGGGAACCTACGTATTAAACACTTTGTATACTGTCACATCTTATCTATATAGGCAGATGCTTGAAGCTTTATTGAACTGTGTAGCAAGATTTAAGTATGCTCATTCTATCTATGATACTGTTGATTTCCTAGGAATACTTATTTATGAAATTTTATTTCGCTATGTATGTAAACCATTTCTTTCTGTAACTATTTTCAGATACAAGCTTGTTATCTCCGTATCAGAGCCTAAGAAAATTGCATCTCCCACCATCACAAACATTCAGGTAACTCACTGAATTTAATTTAATTAGATAATGTCATGACTAGCTTTGATATCTATGAAGAAGTAGCATAACCTTCTCTGTTGTGTCTTCAACTAATAGCTAATTCAGTTCTGGGTACCTCGGCTGGCTATATTTTAAGATGAGTGTGGTTAGCATGGCAGCCTGTAGACACATCAGTTGTTAAACTCTGTTGGTCTGGTTGTGGTAGCATTTTTTTGTGTCCTACAGTCCACTTTCCGTGCAATGCAGTAATTTTTCATCAGTATCGTTTTTGCTCTCTCTCATCATCTTTTTAGGATCAGTTAAGCTCTTCCATTTCTCAGCAACTTGGAATCTGGAATACACTTCCCTCATGTTTAGTATCATTGAATCTACTTTGTCTTGAATTTGATCTGTCCCCTCATTGTTAGTAAATTATTGGATCTGGATATTTGCTCACATACCCTCTCTTGCTCTCTCTCTTTTGCTGGTTTACTTACGATGCTTGACATACAGAAGGCCTGAGAGGATTTGGTTTTGTGTGTAGGGATGGCTTCCAGGATCAAGAGCAGATGGAGATTCTAACCAGCTTCCAACAATTGCTGTAGTTGCATCCTATGATACCTTCGGAGCAGCCCCTGTATGTAATAGTACTCGATAGTCTTACTATTGTGGTAGTATGTTATGTACCTGATTAACTCGTATTTGTAGGCATTATCAGTCGGAAGTGACAGCAATGGAAGTGGGGTTGTAGCACTTCTTGAAGTAGCTAGACTATTTTCCATTCTTTACTCGAATCCCAAGACAAGAGGAAGATACAATTTACTTTTTGCACTGACATCTGGTGGACCCTACAACTACGAAGGAACTCAAAAGGTACTGGACCTTACATCTTGATTCTACTAAAACCATCTCCTTCGTGCATTTTTGTTTGTTGC